TGTATTCATACTGTGGACAGGTGGGTGAATCAAGAATGAGTGCGGTAAATGTACCGCAGGCCTAGTATCATTTAAAACTAATTCACGTGTAAGCGACCGTTTCTGCATCACCATGCTTTGAAGAACGCGATTAATCTTCTCAAAACCCACAGTCGAACCGTCAGATTTTAAGTATTCCAGGGGAGAAATAAAAGGCGCAAAAAATTGGTGAATCGGAAAAGGTTGCCATATCCTTACATCAATCTTCGCTGAATCATGGGCATCTGGCTGATGGGTTTGAAAAATCGCGAACAGCCTTTCTCGCTGTCCATATTCTTCTTACTGTCCACATCCTTCTCGCTGTCCACATCCTTCTCGATGTCCACATTCTTCTCACTCACAGTGTCACCGTCTTCATTCAGCATGTCTCGCATTGTGCGGTCCGAATCCTTCTCATCATTTTGATTTGGCTTGATAGCAGCGTAAATGAGGACACTGAAAACCGTGGTGATCGTCAACAGGATGGGATACCGGAAAAATAAGCGTTAAAATAACATCAGTTATAAGTATAATTAGAAGGAACATATTTACGCCTGGTGTCTGTGCGTCGGATTTCCGAGTTTTGAAATATTAGCGCAAACTGTGGCAAAGAACTGATTCAAAGCATGAGGACGTAGGTTCGTCCAATTTGTTTTTAGTTGTGAGTACTGATCCAGCATATGAGCACCTCACTGGGAACAATGAATATCAGCGCTAAATAAGTACGACGTGCTGTATTTAAATCCGAGAGCGAAATCCATCTATATATAAATTATTAGGAAGGTTTGGCGGACTTGCTAAATTTAGTTGACCCAATTATAAAAAACTCGCGGCCTCGGTGGGTGCTCTGGAGCTCACTTTAGAGCCCTCACAGGCAGTCGCATAAGGATTAGTAGGATGGGATGAAATGAATCTGACCAAGCAAAGGGGGACCAGGATGGCTATATCTAACTTATTAGCCGTCATCATCCTACCTTACTAGTCGCTATGCGACTGCCTGAGCGGGCTCTAAAGGGAGCTGCAGGACAACACCGGAACGTACATTGTTCCATTAGTAGATCGGCGATCTCCACGCATTCACCATAGTCCCGATCGCAACCAACAGAGCAGCGAGCCCGTGGGGCATTGGTAGAGTAGTAAACTCAATGACCAAAGATTCTCAGTTCAAATCCCGGGTGCTCCACACCTGGGACTGGGTATGAATGGTTGATGACGGTTAGTAAGCCAGAAATGGCCATTTTGGTCTCTTTTTGCCTTTTCGGATCCATTCCATATACAGTTCTGCTAGTCCTGCAAGCAACTTTCCTAAATTTGTAAATGTTTGA